CTGGAGAGGGCCTGGAGGGTAAAGGTGACAGTAGTGCCCGTGGTGATCGGTGCACTCGAGGCAGTGACCCCGAAGCTAGATGAGTGGTTACAGCGGATCCCCGGAACAACCTCGGACATCTCGGTCCAGAAATGTGCAGTGCTAGGAACAGCAAAGATACTGCGCAGAACCCTCAAGCTCCCTGGCCTCTGGTAGAGGACCCGAGCTTAGAGAGGGATAACCGCCCGCGGAGGGCCAAAGGTGAGTGGACAATTTTTTTTTTTAATATAATATATATATATATATATATATATATATATATATATATATATATATATATATATATATATATATATATATATATATATATATATATGAACAAATATTTTGAGCAGCCCTTAATATTCTAAATGTATTTAATGACTGTAAATAAAATGGTTAGCTCCCGAAGGGGTCGCTGTGAAGTGGCTAGGCGGATAACAGCTAAGCTAGCTAGTTCAAAAACTTGGACCGGTCCTCCTACAGCGCGATGCCTGAGCACTGTGCGGGGTATTGCTGTCAAAATAGGTGGACTATTCAAAACAGGGCTCGGGGAATACTTTTCACAAGTAAAGCCTAGTTTATACTCGCGCGGCGCGGAGCTTACGGAGGTGACGTGACGTCACTTGCGCAACGCGTTTGGTCACCGCAAGGCCCTTACGTCGCCTGCCGCGCAGCATCGAAATTTTCTAACTACGTAAAGGTCGCCGCAAGGAATCTCCGCTGTGATTGGTCCGTGTGTGTGTATTGGAAGGAAGCATGAAGCGGCTGCAGCTGGGACATGGAGGAGGCACTATGGAGCAGAGCTTTGTGCTTCGAAGGAAAAGCAAAGTTTGGGCTCAAAGCCTGATATACAGGATATCACAGGCTTGAACTTTGTATAGCGTTTGGGGTGACCTTGGTCTAAAAAATGTGCTATCTAATAAAAAATAGGTTTACTATAGCGCTTTTTGGACACCTCAAAGACGCTTCACTGTTATTCTTTCACTCGCATACCACCATGGTGGTGATTAAAATACTACTGTAGCCACAGTTGCCCCTGGGGGACACTGACAGAAGCGAGGCAAGTATGTGCATCGGCCCTCTGACCACCACCAACCATTCACACACACACCACCGACTCATTCTAGGCATGTGGGTGAAGTGTCCTTGCCTAAGGACACAACGGCAATTTGAGCACTTTAACAGCCGCCCCACTGTGGCTGGTGTCCCAGAACGACAGCAGATTGTAAGCAAATAGTTAAGGCACCTTGGCTTTAGTTGATTACGGCTTTATTTCAGTCCGATGCAAAACTTTTAATCAAGTCACTACTCAGGGGTGTGCTGTGAGAAAAATGTCATTTAGTATTGATTCCCCAAAAACTAAATTGCCAGAAAATTAAAGCTAAAACTCAGAGCTAAAGGTGCCGTTGATTTGCCGAATTGATTTTTAGCACAAACACAGCGATTACACATCTTCCCATGGCATCGTATTTTTAAATGATAAACTTTGATTGCAAAGAAGAAATCCACTTCTCGACTCAGTAAATAAGTCCTTTACTAATTACGTTCAGAAGTCGGCTGTGCCACGCAGCTCAAACCCCTAGATTCAAAACATCCCAGAGATTGTCACTAACGTATAACAGCTTTGACAAATTGAGTTCTTTTATTGGGGCACCAACACAGGCCCACGGGTCCTTGGCCAGAGGGTCAGGGCGCATGGAGGTATGAGGGGGCTACATAATTTATCAGGCCACTTAGTTATTGATGCTGGGTCGGCGTTCGGAGGTCTCCCACTCCCCACATCCCAGCGATGGTCTGTGCACCCGGAGCGCTTTGGGACGGTTCGCACGGGACTTTGTGATTAATAATATTATAATAAAAAAAATCAGTAGAAGAAGAAGAAGACGATTTTATTTCTCTCAAAGACGCTCAATGTCATTGTTCATTCACTCTATGCACAGCGGGTGATTAACTAATACTAAAGCCACAGCTGCCCGGGGGCACACGAACGGAAGCGAGGCAAACCAGTAATGTGCCAATGGCCCCTTTGCCCAACCTTTCTCACATTAACACCAGACTCATTTAATGTGGGCGAAAAATCTTGCCTAAGGACAAATAATCAGACGCAGCATTGTGGTACCGGGGGTTCCCAGGAGGTCTTCCCATCATCAGGCACTAAAATCAAGCCCTGCCATGATTAGCTTAGGTAGTGCACACTCGGGAGTACGCTATATTAGACTCGGGAGAACGCGATTTAGGCCTATTTCGTGGGCTAATATAGCAACTTATTGAGTCGAGTGCGTAAAGAGCACAGTTTACGGGTCTTGTAATAATAAAAAAACAACTAGCCATTTTCTTTTCCTGGGGATTCTTCGTGCGCTGGCTGCAATTCACCATGCGGTAAACGGGTAAAGTCCAACAAATATGTATAAATAACGTCTGTTGAGAACCTCCATAGAACGTTTGCACTTCTGTCTTCCAAAAAAGGTTAATTTAACAAGTATGAATTGACTTTTTGGTGTTGATGGTCATTGTTTGTTCCCACACTTCTGCACGGAGTTTATAAACGACTATAGTCAGTGCTGTGAATAAAAGATGGCATTTTCTCGACTGTCTGGTGGTTTCTGCTTTTGATCATTTTTCTAATGTGTTTTGCCTCCATATGTAAAACCCCCAGTCTTTCAAGTAACACTTTATTTTACAATGGGCATACCTGCATGGTTTTAGTTACTGAAATCTATGGTGTGATAAGTCTTCCCATCAAAACAAAGCCTGTTTTATCACTGAATTTGGGAGGCATGTAATTTAAAATTGTAGCCACATTTTTGCTTTAGCTTTGGCTTAAAAAATTTTTTAAGCAAGCAATAACATTCTTGACCTGTGGCTTCACCGGTACAGTAGTGTGCTGTGAGATATTTGTATGCACTTTTACTATTGCTTTGATGTCTCTTATTAAACCTTGTGTCCGTAATGTTTTATTACTGCCTCATCTCAATGACGTAGGTGTTGACCCACTTCCACAAAAGCAGTCAAGGAATGCTTTATAGAAGAAAGAATAGCCTTCTATACTCTAGCATGTGTAGTAAATGTAGTAAATGTAGAAAAAACAGTTTCTGCCTTTTATTCTTCTTCCTTACAGAACCAAGTCCATAGGCACAGTATATAACCATAGTATGTGTAACTCACTTCAAGGACAAAAATAACCAAGGAACAATAGCTGTAGCAAATAACTTAAACCGTTAAGTCTCACCGGTCGTCATCATTCTCTCCGGTCTTATGTCGGCATGTGAATATCCTACTAGTTTTGAATGCAGAACAAATAACCCCAATAAAACAGCTATTCTTAACAGCATGGTATATTAGTATACTTACCTGTTTGCAACACGTAAAAGAGGATGTCTGATAGGAATTACCCACAAAATTAGTACGATGGTCAGTAGAAGAAATGACAGGAATATAAATACAGGACATTGTAGAAATGTGATTTTTCTATGAAACTCTGGAATAATAATATGGACTTAATCGCCAGTGAGTACAAATGATAACAAAAATTACATTGAATAAGCAATTTGAAATGACTGGCCAGTGTAGTCACTTCAGTTAGTTTTTGCCAATAAAAAATGATAAAATATGAGGTGATAATTGCTTGATCATGTGTTTTTCATCTTTTTTTGAGGCCAGTATGACGGTTTAACAACATGATATGCCAATGGGAGAAGGTCATTCGTCCATTTCAAGATCTGTTGGCTTTATTTTCTCCTTCAAAAAGGGGAGACATTTTTGTATCTTTTAAAAACAAGATAAATTTGGCTTGGACTCATTGGCCGTCAAAATGTGCTTGAATCGAAAGCATAAATATGGCGAGATATTGAGCAATTTTTTACTTATGTCTTTGAATCATTTTTTGCGTGTGCTTGAGTATTCAAAACCTTTTAGTACCATCGACTACAGAATGTAACAATTGAAAGTTAACAATATCTCACGGCAGCTAAAGAAAAAGTGAATTGTGTCTAGTAAGCCCGGCGAGGGTTTGTCCTGAGCCTGGTTGAAGGGGTTGGCTGTCTCGCCGATGCCTGGTCCTGCTGAGTCTATGGATGGTATCTTATCGTTGTTTCTGGAGGACTGTGGGAACCCTGCAAAAGAAACAAGTTACAGGTCTGTGTTGACATCATGCGTCGGCTTCTTCCTCTCCAAGATATTTTTTAAAAATGGCTGTCCGTAAACAAGAGTTCCCAAACATATACGTGTATATTTTCTGTTGCTTGAAGTTGGACACCAGTCAGAGATGTGATTGTTGTTGATTATGAATGATAACTGACCTCCCGGGGGACGTGCCCACCGGCATGGATTCCTGTGTGTAGACCATAGGTTCTCTAACTGGGGTACGCGTACCCCTAGTGGTACGCGGGCTCCCTCTAGGGGTACGCCAAAGAATCACTGAAATAAATATAAATCAAATAAAAATCAAATAAAATACATTTACATGAAATACTATCAAACATATTAGAATGGATGAAATATATCAACCTATGGCAAGAAAATGAAGAGAGATATAAATTAACTTTTAATTAACAAGTTTGCAAGTGCTTCTGGGTAGCAGTAGTCCTATGTAACATTTGAAATTGCCGTTGACGTTGAGTCAGACAAGCTGACGCTAGCGGTTACAGGCAATAATAGGTGATGGCAGGAGGTGGAGTTTTTTAATAATGAAGTCTTCAAAACTACTGTCGTGGCTTCAGTCTGCGAAGGGAAGTGTGGACCAGGATGAAGCAAGCACTGAAGAGGACAAGTGCGGGGAAGGTGCAGGTGCACACAGCGGCTTTAGTGGCGCCAGTGAAAGCCACAGAGCAGCTCCCAGAGCAGCTGCTAGCAACAAACGGCACAAAAGATTGAGGAAATATGATGACAATTATATCAATTATGGATTTATTTGGAGTGGGAGAGAGGAAGAGCCAAAGCCGCAGTGTGTGGTATGCGGCGAAGTTTTGAGCAATGAATCCATGAAACCGTCGCATCTCAAACGGCATCTTAAAACCAAACACGGGAAACATAACGACAAACCAGTGGAATTTTTTTTACGAAAACGTGAAGAACTGAAGCAGTCAAAGTCCATCATTCAATCCTGTGGAACACCTGTAGCCAAAGCACAGGAGGCTTCATATCGTGCCAGCCTCAGGATCGCCAGAGCCGGTAAGCCGCACACAATCGGGGAACAGTTGTGTTTACCTTTAGCTAAAGAGATGACGCGGATCATGTGTGGAGAGAACGCTGCCAGAAAGTTAAACTTGGTGCCACTTTCAAATGACACCGTGTCAAGGAGAATAAAAGACATGGCGGATGATGTTAAAAACACACTGATTGAGCGCATTAAGAACAGTCGATATTTTGCCATACAGCTCGATGAGAGTACAGATGTTGCAGATTTGGCCAATTTATTAGTTTATGTGAGATATGAATATGATGGTGCAGCTCAGGAGGATATTCTGTTCTGTCAGTCACTTGAAACCAGAACTACGGCAGAGCACATATTCCAGCTACTGAACGCGTTTATCCATGAGAATGGACTGGACTGGAAAAAGTGTGTGGGGGTGTGTACAGACGGCGCGAGGGCTATGACGGGTCGTAACAGCGGGGTAGCCACTCGCATCAGAGAGGTGGCACCTGAGATGCGCTGGACTCACTGCAGTATCCACCGTGAGGCACTGGCAGTGAAGAAGATGCCTGATGACCTGAAGTCTGTGCTGGACTCTGCTGTAAAAACTGTGAACTTCATAAAGTCCAGACCGATGAATGCTCGCTTATTTCATGTGCTCTGCGAGGAGATGGGTAGTGAGCATGTCCAACTCTTGCTTCATACTGAAGTAAGGTGGCTTTCAAGAGGAAAGGTACTTTCGAGGCTTTTCGAATTGCACAGAGAGGTCCAGATGTTCTTGCAGGACACACATTTCCCTCTCTCAGACATTTTTGAGGATGCTGTGTGGCTCAGTCAGCTGGCATACTTGTCTGACATTTTTTCACGTTTCAATGAATTGAATTTGGGACTGCAGGGACTCTCTATCAATGCTTTTGATGTACAGGACAAAATCAATGCACTGCCGAAAAAGTTCGAGTTATTTGAACTTAAAGTCAAGACAGGTGATGTTTCAGCTTTCCCTGCTTTGGAGAGTTTTCTGTCTGATAATGACCTGATGCTTGATGATGGAGTCAGGGAGAACATCGCTGCACACCTCGCATCACTCAGACAACAGTTCTGCAATTATTTCCCTGTGATTCCTGGAGCTGAGGCTAGAAGCTGGATGAGAAACCCTTTCAACATCAGCACCTCTCACGTGGCCTCAATGGACTTAACTGTTGTTGAGCAGGAGAAATTAATAGAGCTGTCTTGTGACGAAACACTGAAGGCATCTTTCAGAAAGCACACTTTGTTGGACTTTTGGATGAAGCAGTACAGTGAATACCCTGTGCTTTCTGACAAGGCAGTGCGTTTTCTCCTTCCTTTTGCAACCACCTATCTGTGTGAGAAAGGCTTCTCTTCACTTGTTGTCATAAAAACAAAGTACAGAAGCAGGGTGGATGCTGAGCCAAACCTGAGACTGAAGCTGACCTCCATTGACCCAGATATTGCAGGACTGTGTTCACAGAGGCAGGCACACCCATCACACACAACTCATGCAAGTTGTCATTAATAGTCTGTGTATGTTTAATTACAGCTGTTAATTCTCTTTTTTTTATTCTAAATCTTATTGTTCTTCCTCTGTGTTTGTGTTTGTTTCAGAAAGCAGCCAGTGTGTAAAGTTGAGACAGCAAGAACTGTTACTTGCAGCTAGGTATACGGCCTTAGTTTAGTTTTTATAACATTGAAGTACAGTACAGTTTTATTTAATCTTTAAGAACAGATTTTTTACATTTATTTTAGTACAATGTTTATTTAACTTTTATGTGCAATACATTTTATTTGAATCATTATTTAAGTAGAGTTATTAGTTTTTTTTTCCTAAATTTAAGTCTTAATGTTGAAATTGTAAAACAGTGGTTCTCCCTCTGTATAATGTTATAATGGCTGACAATATTAAATATTCCTCTTTAGGAATGAAACCTCTGCCTTGTTTTTGATTAATACTTCGGCTTATTACGCTACTGTGTGGTGTTGGTCATTTGTGGTGGTACTTGGAGAGGCAAGTATTTTCTGAGGTGGCACTTGGTGTGAAAAGTTTGAGAACCATTGGTGTAGACCATTGGCAGCTCCAGAAACTCTTCTCCCTCCAGAGCAGCAACTTCGAGGCCAGACACCATGTTGCTTTTCATGACTTTCTCCTGTCCCATTGTGCGGAGAAGTATATTTCCTTTTCTTCTGGTCAAGTTGGGCTTATTCATCAGGGACGTACAAAACACTGCGGTGCTCCCTTGGTCTAGAAATGCATAAGTTGTGACCGTTTTGCTTCCTTTCTTTGATTTAACTTGAACAGGTACGATGGGCAGCTTACAATCTTGATCCCCAGCCCCTGTAAGGCCACTCGCTATTAGAGTATTGGCAACGGAGGCCACTTCGTTCCTTTCAGTCTGCGTGGCACCATGAACAGATTCTTTGTGCAGAATAGTGGGATGTTTAAGGCTACACTTTGTACAGGAAATCCGTTTGCGGCAGTGCTTGCTCATATGTCCTGTACACAAACAACTGAAGCAGATCCCCCTTTCCTTTTGAAAATCAATTTTCTTCTCGTGCGCCATTCTTCCCAACTTCATACACATATCCAGTGCATGTCCTGCTCCACAATAAAAACATTTATTTCTTTCAGGTGCCTTCACATAGTTGTTAGTCTGTTCTGTAGGACCCACTGTTGTGGCGAAACTGGCTCCTTTAAGGCGAGATATTGACTTTGATTTACTCGTTATTATGGGTGGGTCTTGAATGCTGCCAAAGACCGGATCAGTTAATATTTTTATTTGTCTTTCAATTAAATCCACAATGTCACTGAATTTTGCTCTCCTTTTCTGACGTTCTTGCATATCACAAGCTTGGCATCTCCATTTATCTCTAAGCTTATAGGGAAGTTTTCTTATTATGTTCATCATATTGGAGGGCATGTCCAAATCATGTAGGTATTGCACATCCTCCATAGCATTGCAACAGCCTCGGAGAAACAGACAATAATCCTGTAGTGCTCTCACATCTTCATTCTTAATGTTGGGCCAGGAGAGGGCTTTAGTGGCTGAGTGGATAGCACTCTCGCCTCTCAGCAAGAAGGTTCTGGGTTCGAATCCCGGTCGGACCAGGGCCTTTCTGAGTGGAGTTTGCATGTTGTCCCCGTGTCTGCGTAGGTTTCCTCCGGGTACTCCGGTTTCCCCTACCACTAAAAATATGTACAATAGTTCTGGCATGTGCCTCCTGTACTGGCGACCCCGCTCCCATCTCTGTGTGGAGCGAGAGGACAAATGCCCTAAAAATAACAATTGTAAACCGCTTTGAGACTCTGATGTGCAGTGAAAAGGCGGTATATAAATAAAGATTACTTTATCCATGTAGGCTGCAGAAATCCGTTGTTCATTACCAAAGTGCTCCTTTAACAAAGCTTTTGTCCTCACGTATCCATTGTCAGGATTGATGTGTTGACAGCTCCGTATCAAATCTCTGGCCTGGCCTTTGGTGTACTGTTCCATGAAATATAAGAGATCTGAATTATTGTTTGTGTTTCTCTCGACTCCATTTTCAAATGCTTTGATGAAGGTGTGGCATTTTAATGGATCACAATCAAAAATCATTTGTTTTCCTATTTGAAATGGCTGTATGCACATATTGCGTGTTGGTCGGTTCCAGCGTTGCGTGTTGTGCTGTATTGCGTCCAGCAGATGGAGCTGTTCTATATTTGCGAGCGTAATTTTCATCATGCTTGTTGGTTACATTTGTTTTTATCGGCACCGCTGGAATAAATTCCCCTGCATTAACATTGAGTGTTTGCTTTGACTTGTTCCATTCAAAATAAGAGTTCATTCCATTTGACACATGTGATGCCACCATTGACCCTGCCTTTGCTCTTGAAGCCTTTCATGACTTTCTACTTATAGAGGATCTTGTTTTGAGAATGTTCAGTGTTGCCATTTTTTCTGCAATATCAGTTTCCAGTTTCAGTTTTTCTCTCCTTTTTCTTATTTTTTCTTCTTCCTCCTCCAGTGCATGTCTTTCTTCCAATAACTTCTGTCTTGCGCCCAAAGCAGCGAGTACTGCTTCAGCGTTTAAACGTGCAGAAGAAGTGCTGGAGTGTCTGGAATATGACGTACGTGATCCAGCATTTGAAGCACTGTCTGAAGGTTTCAATTCATCAGCAGTTTATTTTTTGTCCAAACATTGTTCTTTTTTTCCATTAATTTCATTTGTTGGCACCAAAGCTGGGTTTCCATTTGTTTCGAATAAATCGTGTTCATTTGCATCAGGTTCACACTCGTTAAGCCACTTATGAATTTCATCTTTAAATCTTTCACTGCGTGACATTATGTCTGAAAACCATTCATTTTGTTGAGTGATTACGTCTTCGTCATATAAGGCCAACACTTCCTCGTGAACAGTGGCGGCTTTCTCACACAATTCATTAAATATTCCCAAAGATTCCTTTACATGAGACACGTTCTCCTTTTCACGCATGAGCTCTTTCATTTCTGGTACTAAAGCCTTTATTTTACTCACAAAACCTCTGCGTTCATGTTGCAATTTTTCAACCTTCAGTAGCAACGCTTTTTCAGTGAGTTTACTTTGCCTTTTTGGCTCTGCGTCAGGACACAAGGCTGCACCATTGATTTGACTCATATTCACACTTTTATTTATTCCAGTGAACCGTTTCAGTTATACATCAGTGAGCAAACAGATGCATCATTTTCATTTCAACAAAGCAGCGTTTATCATTTCCCATGAAACTCCATCTGCTCATCGCATTATTTTATCCACATATGCGTCAACAGCAGCGCACTTCCACATTTACGCACGGGCATCCAACAGACATACTTTCATCCAAGCGCTCCAAATGTAAATACTTAGTGTATTATTGCAACAAGGATTTCGTATCCACATTCAAACTGGCACAGGTATGGCTTACCTGGCGTCCACGCGTTTGATGCTGTGCTTTGCCCCGCGGGTTGGTGACAGCTGAGAACTTGGCGTTCTCCGAGTGGATTGATCTTGCGAGCGATGGCTTTCAGCAAATGCCTTTTTTGTTGTCTAAATGTAGCGACTCTAGTGCCTATGGCCGCTGGAGAGGAGAAACCGGGTTCGTCTAATTGTATGACGCGCTGCTTGGCTGTCACAGAGCACACTTTGTCGGGGATTAAGTTTGATGGCGTTTTAATGAAAAGAAACACGGATGAGGTTATAACATAACGTAGACGTCTTGATATTGAACAAAACAGTGAGAAAACGAAGGTGCAAAAGAAACAAACACAAACGAACGGTCAACAAAAACTACAGCGACCCAGCCCCCCCTCTACTACTGATTTCATTCATAAAACAGAGGTGAGAACTAAGTAGACACTGCCCCAGTAACCACGTGACCCACACCCGGCATATCACCCAATCAAATCACAGCCCACTGTTATTGTCATGGTTTGAGTTTATTTCCTGTTTTATTTTGAAATGTGTTATTCCTGTGTCTTCTTTGGTTGTACTTCCTGTTGTCTGATTACCTGCCCTGCCCCTCATCTGTCTCACCTGTGTCTCGTTAGTCTTGTATTTAGCCCTGTGTGTTCCTTCACTCCCTGTTCCGTCATTGTCTTTCCTAGTCTGTTTTAGTTCTGTCTGTTCCCTGTGTTTTTGGTAGGTTTTGATTTGTATTACTTTCATTAAATCCATCATTTTGCAGTTTTTGCCTTTTGGGCCTCATTTGTTTTTCACCCACGTGACAGAATGACGGAACCACTCAAGGCCCAAGCAGACTGCTTTATTTTTGTTTTTTATTTTTTGTCATCTCTGGCCCATCTTTGTCCCCGACTGGTCTTGACAGTTGCTGCAGGAGCTGGACGCATTCCCTGTCTGTCTGTCTGTGTCCTGGACCACTGCAGGACACTTAGCTCCGTCCTGGGTGGTTGCAGGCTTCCGTTCCTGACCTGGCTCCGCTGGATATTGTTCTCCATCCAGGGGGCCTTCTGTACCCGTTTGGCTCCAGTCCTGGCTCCAGTTCCTGCTCCAGCTCTTCCGCTCCAGCTCTTCGGCTCCACGCCCCGGCCCCGGCTCCACGTCCCGGCCCCGGCTCCACGTCCCGGCCCCGGCTCCACTTCCCGGCCCCGGCTCCACGTCCCGGCCCCGGCTCCGCGTCCCGGCCCCGGCTCCACGTCCCGGCCCCGGCTCCACGTCCCGGCCCCGGCTCCACGTCCCGGCCCCGGCTCCACGTCCCGGCTCCACGTCCCGGCCCCGGATTCACGTCCCGGCCCCGGCTCCACGTGCCGGTTACACCCCCCCGGTCCTTCCTACGGTCCCCCTCCTCCCTCCCTGGTTTTGTTTTTGGGACGTCTGGGATCCGTCCCTTGAGGAGAGGGTACTGTCATGGTTTGAGTTTATTTCCTGTTTTATTTTGAAATGTGTTATTCCTGTGTCTTCTTTGGTTGTACTTCCTGTTGTCTGATTACCTGCCCTGCCCTCATCTGTCTCACCTGTGTCTCGTTAGTCTTGTATTTAGCCCTGTGTGTTCCTTCACTCCCTGTTCCGTCATTGTCTTTCCTAGTCTGTTTTAGTTCTGTCTGTTCCCTGTGTTTTTGGTAGGTTTTGATTTGTATTACTTTCATTAAATCCATCATTTTGCAGTTTTTGCCTTTTGGGCCTCATTTGTTTTTCACCCACGTGACAGAATGACGGAACCACTCAAGGCCCAAGCAGACTGCTTTATTTTTGTTTTTTATTTTTTGTCATCTCTGGCCCATCTTTGTCCCCGACTGGTCTTGACAGTTGCTGCAGGAGCTGGACGCATTCCCTGTCTGTCTGTCTGTGTCCTGGACCACTGCAGGACACTTAGCTCCGTCCTGGGTGGTTGCAGGCTTCCGTTCCTGACCTGGCTCCGCTGGATATTGTTCTCCATCCAGGGGGCCTTCTGTACCCGTTTGGCTCCAGTCCTGGCTCCAGTTCCTGCTCCAGCTCTTCCGCTCCAGCTCTTCGGCTCCACGCCCCGGCCCCGGCTCCACGTCCCGGCCCCGGCCCCGGCTCCACGTCCCGGCCCCGGCTCCACTTCCCGGCCCCGGCTCCACGTCCCGGCCCCGGCTCCGCGTCCCGGCCCCGGCTCCGCGTCCCGGCCCCGGCTCCACGTCCCGGCCCCGGCTCCACGTCCCGGCCCCGGCTCCACGTCCCGGCTCCACGTCCCGGCCCCGGATTCACGTCCCGGCCCCGGCTCCACGTCCCGGCCCCGGCTTCACGTGCCGGTTACACCCCCCCGGTCCTTCCTACGGTCCCCCTCCTCCCTCCCTGGTTTTGTTTTTGGGACGTCTGGGATCCGTCCCTTGAGGAGAGGGTACTGTCATGGTTTGAGTTTATTTCCTGTTTTATTTTGAAATGTGTTATTCCTGTGTCTTCTTTGGTTGTACTTCCTGTTGTCTGATTACCTGCCCTGCCCTCATCTGTCTCACCTGTGTCTCGTTAGTCTTGTATTTAGCCCTGTGTGTTCCTTCACTCCCTGTTCCGTCATTGTCTTTCCTAGTCTGTTTTAGTTCTGTCTGTTCCCTGTGTTTTTGGTAGGTTTTGATTTGTATTACTTTCATTAAATCCATCATTTTGCAGTTTTTGCCTTTTGGGCCTCATTTGTTTTTCACCCACGTGACAGTTATATTCAATTTATGGCTCCTACAGTAATAATGAAGATTTGTCTAAACTAGAAAATGTTACCGAGGGTGTGCAGATCAAAGGGAAAGCTAAGCAAGATTGTAAAGTGTGTGTTGAAGGGAAGTTTATCCAAACCAGAAATATAGCCTGACGAGAGAGCACAAGCGGCGTTATGGTGCGTTCAGACCGGATCATGCGTTGTGTCGGTTTCAATGCAATTTCAAAGTCTATGGTGAGTGCGAGTACGTCTGATGAAGAATGTCTCGGACTCGCGGATTATAAATACAGGAGCCCCACAGGGCTGTGTTCTTTCTCCCCTGCTCTTCTCCCTGTACACCAACCACTGCACCTCCAGCCACGACTCCGTGAAGCTGATCAAGTTTGCGGATGACACCACCCTCATTGGACTCATCTCCAACAACGATGAGTCCGCCTACAGGAGGGAGGTGGACCGGCTGGTGTCCTGGTGCTGTGGTAACAACATGGAGCTGAACGCCCAGAAGACAGTGGAGATGATTGTGGACTTCAGGAAGAGCACTGTCCCCCCGCCCCCACCCTCCGTGATGGACTCCCCCATCACCTCTGTGGAGTCCTTCCGTTTTCTGGGCACCACCATCACCCAGGACCTCAAGTGGGAGCCGACCATCAGCTCCCTCATCAAGAAGGCCCAGCAGAGGATGTACTTCCTGCGGCAGCTCAGGAAAGCCAAGCTGCCTGTACAGATGTTGGTGCAGTTCTACACGGCCATCCTCACCTCCTCCATCACCTCCTCCATCACCTCCTCCATCACCGTGTGGTTCGCTGGAGCCACAGTCAGGGACAAACAGAGACTACAGCGCATTGTGCGCTCTGCAGAGGAAGTGATCGGCCGCAGCCTTCCATCGCTGCAGGACCTGTACGTCGCCCGAGCTCGAGGCCGGGCTGGTCGTATCACAGCCGACCCCTCTCACCCTGCACATGGACTATTCCAACCACTCCCCTCAGGCAGGAGGCTGCGGCCCATCAGGACTAGAACCTCCCGCCACAAGAACAGTTTCTTCCCCTCTGCTGTTGGACTCTTGAACACTTCTTAACCTGTCCCCCCGCCCTTTATAAAGTCACTTTACTGCCCATCATACGTCACTTTACTTCACTGTACTGCTGTCACCTTACATTGTGTGCACAATGTGCACTGTATATTTTATATAGTAATTGTAACTCCATTTTTATTTTTTTAATCTTAATTTTAAATGTATTCCTTAGAAGTGTTTTTTTATTCTCTATTTTGTATTATGCCTCTCTACCCTTACTTCTCTTTCTGATTGTTGCACTGAGCCAAAGCAATTTCCAAGTCTGTGACCTCCTATTACTTACGTGGCAATAAAAATGATTCTGATTCTGTAACCGATCAGCAGGGGTGGCAATATTACACAGCACATTTAAGGGAAAGGTTATTAAACAAAAGAGTCAGACAAAGAGGGCAGATGGATCAAAATCTTAGTGGGAAAGATACATGCGTACATGCACCCAGGACCTGGAGCTGCTCGCTGTGAGCATGAGACCCAGGTATCTGCCGCGGGAGTTTTCACACACCGTGGTTCTATGTGTTTACATCCCCCCGTCAGGAGACGGGGCCGCGGCATGTGAGGAGATCCACAGAACTGTGACCCAGATCCAGACCCGCAGTCCCCGCGCTCTGATTCTGATCAGCGGAGACTTTAACCACGCCTCCCTCTCCGCCACTCTCCCGACATTCAAACAGTATGTCACGTGCCCAAGTCGTGGCAATAAGACTCTGGACCTACTGTATGTTAATGTGCGGGACGCATACGCCTCCTCCCCCCTCCCCCCTCTCGGACGCTCTGATCACAGCCTGGTCCGTCTGTCTCCGGAATACACACCAGTGGTGAGAAGAAATCCAGCGCAGAAGAGGATTGTAAAAGTGTGGAGCGATGATGTGGATGAGATGCTGAGAGATTGTTTTCAAAACACTGATTGGGAAATGATCTGCAGCTCTCATGGTGAGGACATCGAGAGCCTGACACACTGCATTACAGACTATATTCTCTTCTGTGTGGATAACACTGTACCAACTAAGAAGGTGCGGTGTTTTTCTAACAACCACCCATGGATGACCCCTGAGCTTAAAGCCCTCCTGAACCTCATAAAAGGGCTTTCATCTCAGGGGACAGGGAGGAGCAGAAGAGGATCCAGCACGAGCTCCAGTGGAGGATCAGGAGGGCCAAGAAGGACTATGGGAAAAAGCTGGAGCAGAAGCTGGCCCAGGGAAACGCCCGCGACGTGTGGAGAGGCCTAAAGAACATCTCCGGCTTTGGACAGAGTGCCAGAGGGACAGCGGATGGAGACCAGCACCGGGCGGATGAATTTAACCAGTACTTCAACCGGTTTGATTCTCCCCCCTCTCCATCTGCCCCCCTCCCGCCCCCACCTCTTCACACGTCCCCAGCCCAGTGGACACCGCCCAGTGGACACTGCCTCCGGCTGCCCCGGGCCTCATTTGGCGCTCAGCTGTCGGGTTCGTGCCGGGCTCGGGCTTCTTTTTTTAAATATATGTTTCTTTTTTATTATTATTATAATTATTTTAAATGATTTTTATACATAATGATATGCATATATATATATATATATATATATATATATATATTAATAACAATGTCCGTTGATTGACAACAAGTTATTAAAAAAAGTTAATATATTAATGACACCGTACCAAGCGTGTCCTACAGCAGCAGCGAGCCGTGAACGCATCATCCCCGTGTCTCCTGCTGCTGTGGTCAACAGCGAACAGGAACAATAGTAGAAATGGATCAAGTGGAGACAAAACAAATTCAAAAGTGGAGACTAAACTTGCAATTGGAAGGTGAGTGCGTACAACGGGAAATCAGATGTGTCGGGTTCTGTCGGGCTCGGGCCTGTTATACAGCGTTCATTGGTCGGGCTTATACGGGCTCGGGCTTAACATTAGCGGGCTCGGGCCGGGTCGGGCTTCAATTTTCAGGCCCGAACGAAACTCTAGTGCAGACCAGTACATGTACAACCTGAGCCTCAGCCTGGAGAAGGTCCCTGTTCCTGTGGAAGACCTCCTGTGTGATCCCGGTTCCAAAAACAGCACACGCCAAGGAACCGGCTCACTACAAGAGAGCAAAGGCACTATTGGGTGTAAACGCAAGCCTATTTTATCGGTTTTAAGGCAAAAAAATCCTGATAAAACTAGATATTAAATGTTTGTGCTAATATGGGGCTGATAATCAGTGGCCAATACGACTATCGGCCCAACTATCGTCTCATCTCAAATCGGCCATTAATGGGAAAGTCCTTGAAAAGGGTTTCTACCAACTGGAACTAGATTTTCTATAATCAAACTCATTTGACTGTTTTTCCCGTCTCGCTTTAGACACGTGAGACTGGCTCTCGTTAGTTGACAAATGACATCCGCTGAACACTGACGCTGGCAAAGTCTCATCTTAATCTTGTTAGATCTGAATCACAGACATCTAGAGGACTGGGTGTCCTCTAGGGTGGGAATGACAGAGGGCACATGCTTCGTGCAAGAGACCTGCAGCAAGGAATGTCTGTCTGCGTTTTTTTTTTATAGAATAAAATGACCTGATTTTTGGATTGCCAGGATGTGAATGGCAGTACTTCTAACCTTAAGTTGTGGGCTGATGAACTTTATGGCTGACTGTTTTTGCATGTGTTGTGTGGCAAATGGAGAAACGGTACTGCTGTTACTGTGGACTGTGTACCATGCGTGTCAGAGTCTCAAGGGCCCCCTCACTGAGGAACTCAAACACGCACCAGTACAGCTAGTTTCTCCTTATTGGGAAAACCTACCTTCGTACCAGCCCCCACATCACGGACCTTTTATGGGGCAACAACTTTTTGAACATTTTCAAAACTTTGCTCCAAAAAATTGAGGAAGCGGGGGGAAAGGGGCGGAGCGCGCCAGCGGCTTTGAGGACATTGCTGGATTGCATTCCCTCTCTTCAGGTGATCCTGATGAATGCCACAATCACTCAGAATCAAGTGGACAGTAACAGTGTTCATGGTACGTTTCCATCATGAATTCAGGGACTCATGCCTATTAGCCCATTACGGAGTCCTGGCTTACGGACAGGACCAACAACCAATTTTGGCGTTGGATAACTTCGGGAACCCCATCCGACTCGGCTGTTTACCAGCTGCCACTGGGAAATACCAGGCGGGGGGTGGCCTCTAGGCAAATCAGCCCTGTTGTAAGAATGTCATTGTGGAGAGACCAGTCGTGTAATAAAGACGCAGCACATATTAGCGGTCTCCTTACTCCCCAGTACCTGACCTCGAGAATTTCCACAAATTTTTGTCTTCGTTGTAAATGTGCATCCCAAAGCCAACGTGAATAAAGCCTGCGAGACTATCTGAATGAGACTCAAAAACTGCACAACACCAATGGCCAGATGTGCCCTTTTTCGTTTTTGGTGATTTTTAATCAGTGCTACTTGAATTTTTTTTTTGAGAAACTTGTATCATAGGTCATGTGGTAAACTCGGAAGAACAAAACGCTGGACAGGTGCTATGGATCATTAAGGGAGCTCACACCCGATCCACTGTTAGGGAGTGCTGACCCGATATCTGCATGCTCTGATCCCAACATAATTGCACTGTCTTAACCCATTAAGGCCTTACACACCTGGTAAAACAGACCTTAAAAACCTATGGCCTGACTTCAAACAACCTCCACCTGAGTATTCCCGAAATTCAACGTCTACAGAATTGATTGATATCTTGGCCTCGTAGCAGATTAGAAACATAATTTCCCAGATTGTGAGAGCCGACACTAGATGTGAAAAAAAACAAAAACAAATGTGAACAACACATGTTTCTCAATACAATAAGTCCCACAAAATAGTTTTTTGGCTTACGGCAGGATGTTTTAGGGGACAAATTGTCTCCGAAACCAACAGCGACACTGGACGGCGCACCCACAGATCAAATTAATTTTCAACAAGGTCCAGCAGATTCAGAGTTGTTGTTGAGAATGCTTTGTAGACTTAAAGGGGACATATCGATGAAAATCCACTTTTTATGCCTTAAAATGCCTATGTTGGTAGTTGGAGCCTTAGAAGTGCAAAAAAGTTGAAATCATTCTCTTCATGGTTGCCAGAGAACACTTCATATTCTGTTTGGGTAAGATTTTTTCAACCCGTTCTGTTTTGCCGTTCTTCTATTACGTGGTTTAGAAATTATTACGTCACTGTATTTGCAGCGAGACTGCCATAAAGGCATGGCGTCTAACAAAACACTTCGGCCGCAGCCCTCCTCTACTGTGCATCACTTCGAATTTGTATTCCAAGCACAAGGATGCCAGCGCACAGGCTGGACGTGGCCATACGGGCGTACCAGGAAAATGCCCAACAGGCCGAGTGCCCGATATTTTGGCGTCTGTCTGCCGCATACAAAACACATGTTTTGAGAAGTGTAAATCCGTTGAGAATTTGGTCGAGCGGGCGCGCGTATCCGCGGGGCACCTGCTGTATGTACTCGACCGGGATTCCGCCACATCGCGGCCGCAGTGTTCCCGGGCACTGCGCTGCTTGTAATGAGCAGCTTCCTCTATCGTAAAGTATTGCCAGCGCATGGCTTTTAAAGAAGAGCTACTCAGTTTGGAGAAAGGCCAGCCAGTAAGTTCATCCAGCCATCTCCGTAAACTCAACCCACAATTGGTAGAAGGTATCCTGAGGGTTGGTGGGCGGCTAGGCAGACTTGAAATGCCGGCAGAGTTGAAACATCCAGTTATATTGTCAAAAGATCTCCATGTGTCCTCTCTTCGTTGTTTTATGGCGATGAGCTATTTCATAAGCTCTCGCCAGTGTGGACGGGCGAGTTTCCAGCAGTTTTTGAATAATATCGGCATCGCCGAAACCATTTGTGAAAACTTCAACAGCAATAGCATCCTGCTCCTTCTCGGATCTGTCACCATAGGCCACAGCCACTTTTCCTTAAATATCGTCCCGGAAAACATGCAACGCCTCACCAGCCTGGCGTATTCTCTGCCTCAGTTCCACTGCAACCGCTGCCGCATGATCGGAGGAAGGGCCGTACGCGCTCTCCAGCTCCTGTAGTAGCCGCTGGTAGTCCCATTTCGATGAGCGTGGATTCCGGTGAACGATGGCCCCTGCAGCTCCAACCAAGCAGAATTTCAACTGAACCGCCATTGTTTTAGCTGACCAGTGTGGTCAAATTTGTGCATAAACTCTCTCCATGGTGTACTTCCATCATACTGCCCAGGGAGTAGAGTGGGGACCCTCTCTTTAAAGTCACAATCGTCATCGTTCTCTGAAGATGAGGTCAAAAAATGGGACTTTTGATCTACTGTAACTTATTACTGTAAAAAGGTGTGCGACTAATTTCACTGGATTCATGACCTCATGATTGCCCTCTACCACTGTACCAAAGACCAGAAACTTTTACTGTAGAAATATTGAGAAATATTGATTTAAAGTAGCCATTTTGGTCCAAAATAAACTAAAAATGGTCAAAACATGTCACTTTTGATCTACTGTAACTTTTTACTGTAAAAAGGTGTGCGACTAATTTCACTGGATTCATGACCTCATGATTGCCCTCTACCACTGTACCAAAGACCAGGAACTTTTACTGTAGAAATATTGAGAAATATTGATTTAAAATAGCCGTTTTGGTCCAAAATAGCCTAAAAAATGGTCAAAACATGTCACTTTTGATCTACTGTAACTTATTACTGTAAAAAGGTGTGCGACTAATTTCACTGGATTCATGACCTCATGATTGCCCTCCACCACTGTACCAAAGACAAGAAACTTTTACTGTAGAAATATTGATTTAAACTAGCCCTTTTGGTCCAAAATAGCCTAAAAATGGTCAAAACATGTCACTTTTGATCTACTGTAACTTATTACTGTAAAAAGGTGTGCGACTAATTTCACTGGATTCATGACCTCATGATTGCCCTCTACCACTGTACCAAAGACCAGAAACTTTTACTGTAGAAATATTGAGAAATATTGATTTAAACTAGCCATTTTGGTCCAAAATAAACTAAAAATGGTCAAAACATGTCACTTTTGATCTACTGTAACTTTTTACTGTAAAAAGGTGTGCGACTAATTTCACTGGATTCATGACCTCATGATTGCCCTCTACCACTGTACCAAAGACCAGGAACTTTTACTGTAGAAATATTGATTTAAAATAGCCGTTTTGGTCCAAAATAGCCTAAAAAATGGTCAAAACATGTCACTTTTGATCTACTGTAACTTATTACTGTAAAAAGGTGTGCGACTAATTTCACTGGATTCATGACCTCATGATTGCCCTCCACCACTGTACCAAAGACAAGAAACTTTTACTGTAGAAATATTGAGAAATATTGATTTAAACTAGCCCTTTTGGTCCAAAATAGCCTAAAAATGGTCAAAACATGTCACTTTTGATCTACTGTAACTTATTACTGTAAAAAGGTGTGCGACTAATTTCACTGGATTCATGACCTCATGATTGCCCTCTACCACTGTACCAAAGACCAGAAACTTTTACTGTAGAAATATTGAGAAATATTGATTTAAACTAGCCATTTTGGTCCAAAATAAACTAAAAATGGTCAAAACATGTCACTTTTGGTCTACTGTAACTTTTATTGTGGAAATTTTGAGAAATAATTAGTCAAAGTACCCCCCCTTGGTAAAAAATACACAAAAGGGGATACGGCCCCTTTTGTCGACAAGCGGAGGCTCTGCTCCGAGCTCCTTCCGTGTGACTGAGCTCCTCAACCTATCTCTAAAGGTGCTTTCAGACCAATAGCTTCAAAACGCTTTTGACGCACAATATTTGACGCTGGGTCCGGTGTGAACGCCCCTTGGTGCTTGAAGCTCCTGACGCCGGGTGGGTGGAGCTTCTCTCGCTCCCGCCTGGAGCTCGCACTGATTCCCGCAAAGGAGCGCCTGTCTTTCAGTCGGCTGTGTCTGAGCCAGCTTTAGCTTGTTCTTATACTAAATAAATTACTTTAACTTCACAGCATATGTACATTGATTGTGTTACTTACTTTTTAAGAACGTTACCATTCATACAAATAATATTACAAATAACAATAATGACAATGAAAAAGCAGTAGCAGCTACATGACAGCCCTGCTGCTGCTGCTGCTGCTGCTCCTCGTCTCCAGATTGGTTGAAACCCGGCGTCAAGCTCCAAAAGCTTTTCTCAACTTCGGCGTTAAGGGACTTTTTTACGACAAAAGAGACGCAAGCATTACGCGTGTCAAAAGCTTCAAGTGACGCGCATAATGCTCGCGTCTTTTGAAGCGCTTCAAGTGACGCCGGGCCTCTCAGCGTCACCTGACGTGCTTCACTATTCATTTTCAGTGCAAAACTGACGCTTTTCAAGTCTAAGTTGAGTCCGGGGTGAAAACACCTTAAGGGAGTGCCCAACCACTCTTTCCCACCGCTTGTATCTACAATCTCGTTCTTTCGGTCATTATCCAAAGCTCATGACCAGAGGTGATGGAGGGAACAAGAATTGACCGGTAAATCGAAAGTGGCCGCATCACTGCGCACGCTGCACAAATCCACCTGTCAATCTCACGCTCCATCCTTCCGTCACTCGTGAACAAGACCCCGAGATCCTTGAACTCCTCCACGTGAGGAAGGACCTCTCCACTTTGGCAGCACGGTGGCTGAGTGGATAGCACTGTCGCTTCTCAGCAAGAAGGTCCTGGGTTCGAATCCCAGTCGGAACAGTGCCTTACTGAGTGGAGTTTGCATGTTCCCCGTGTCTGCATAGGTTTCCTCCGGGTGCTCCGGTTTCCCCTACCACTAAAAGCATGCTCAATAGGTATTAATGGATCATGATGATTGGGGGCTGATCAGTGGGGGCGGGTCCCGGCTCGAAAGTGGCCAAAAGAATTAGCCAATGCTAACGTATAGCATTGGCAGACCTCTCGAAAAGGATGGTCCAAAAGTTGACTCTTGGCCCAAACCTCCGTTCCACATGTGTGTCAATGCTGAGGGGGGTGAATTTTTTTGGACCACTCTACTTTACTCGCTGGGAATTTTTTAAGTCTCTCGTTCAAATGAATGGAGCTTGCGCCGGCTGACGCATGCGCTGATGCTTTTTTTTTCCGCTATATAATTTTTTTTTTATATATATAAATGCGCTATATAAATAATCGGGCAATCATGAGGTCATGAATCCAGTGAAATTAGTCGCACACATTTTTACAGTAATAAGCTACAGTAGATCAAAAGTGACATGTTTTGACCATTTTTAGTTTATTTTGGACCAAAATGGCTACTTTAAATCAATATTTCTCAATATTTCTACTGTAAAAGTTTCTGGTCTTTGGTACAGTGGTAGAGGGCAATCATGAGGTCATGAATCCAGTGAAATTAGTCGCACACCTTTTTACAGTAAAAAGTTACAGTAGATCAAAAATGACATGTTTTGACCGTTTTTGGCTACTTTGAACCAAAATGGCTACTTTAACTCCATATTTATCCAAATGTCCACAGTAAAAGTTTCTGGTCTTTGGCACAGTGGTAGAACATAATAATGAGGACATAAATCCATTGAAATGAGTCACACACCTTTTTACAGTAAATAGTTACAGTAGATCAAAAGCGGGAATGTTTTTACAGTGTTGTGTATTTTGCACTAAAGTGTACTTTGTCTCAATTTTACCCAACATTTCCACAGTAAAGGTGTGTGGTCTATAGGCACAGCGTTGAAGGCAGCTATATCGAAGTCATGAACCCAGTGGAATAAGCCACACAAGTCTTTACTGTAAAAATGGACAGCTGCTGAAAATTTCACTTTTTGACCAAATTAAATGCTTTCCAAATATGGGTTTATTCACAAAAACGAGTCTCCTCAGCGCGCTTTCTGTTCGAGGAGAAAAGGTGACTCCGAAAGGCTGTTCCGCTATTACCGTAAGTAGTCAACAAAACGTGCACTGTTTTTCTCTCGTTGCGGGCCGTTTTACTTCGGAGGTGAAAGATGCGGCCCACTTTACCGCGGTCTCACAACAACACGGCTGTGAGTGAATGGCGCCGCGGTAACATGGTCATATAAGACCATACACGCTACAGAACTATTGCCTGCATGCTGTGTTCGTGTCTTTGCAACCTGTGCGTAACCTGTGCACGCAAATACACTGCGGAAGTGTCCCTGTCTCCTCCTGAAACTAAACTAAACTCGCTGAATTAAAGGGGGGTATGTCCATTTCCCCTTTTCATTAACAGCTCATGTTGTTTTTGCCCAAAAGCAAAGGGTTGTGATGTGAGCAAATCTAACAGATTTAAGTACATTTGGTTTGAATGACAATGTGGTATGAAGGACATTTGATAATCTCATTTAACTTCAATTGGAGTGGATTTGAAATAGAATGTTAAAAATGCGATTAATTGTGAGTTAACTCACCATTTCTGTGCGATTAATCAACTAAAACATTTTAATCGTTTGACAGCCCTAGTTTTAATGAACGCACTTTACTCCATTCCTGTTTGCATCTACACCCACAGCACTTTGCGCGCTCCCACACACACACACACACACACACACACACACTACTCCCAAAGCTACTGCACTTGTGAGATAGGCAGATCTCACAACAGTACGAAGACAACTAAGGAACAATAACACTCACAAAGAATCCTGTTAACAGACAAAGATGCAAGCACATGACGTGAAAGATAATTTCCTCATAGGTGTTGTAACCACAGGGAAGGTGGTTTTGGAATATTGTCCTACTGATAAAATGATAGCTGATCTTTTGACAAAAGCTAAAAGTTTTTCCAAAGAAAATGTTTCGCATGTAAAAATGTATGTAAATGCATGTATTGTTTTACCCAGTGAGCTAACAGCGAGTGGGGTGTTAAATGATATTATATTATATCGCTCTTACTCCCTGTCTAACAGAAGCTCTTATTTTGAAGGCGCTACAGGATGTAGTCATGTTGTTCTATCGCTAACTTCCTCTATGGCTCATGCTCCCTGTGCTGCCAAGTTATTCAACAATAAATATGCCCAGACAAGGGGCTGAAGATACCAACGTGAGAGCATAGTTTATTCTCCACTAGCATCTGTCCCT